GGCGGGCTAAATGGTCCCGGGCCTGGCGGGCCCAAATCATAGGATCGGCCCCACAAGATCGGCCCAGGCCCACTAAAACGGGCCAAACGATCTTGGCCCATTTGGCCCGCGGTCCCTGGCCAGTCCCGGGTCTGAACCGGCCCACTTGCCACCCTGGACGTGCCCTGAACCGGCCACTTGCCACCCTGGACGTCACCTTTTCAACAAAGACAAATGCACAGGAGTGATGTTCCTTTTGCTGAATAATTTTCTTATTATAGATCCCATCTGATTTTTTCCTTAGGCGAAACTATTTGGGCATCTTGAAGTGAAAATATTTAGGCTTAATTAAGACTGTTATTATTTGACTGATTAAATCAAATTTAGTCTAATATTTTTTTTTGAAAAGGTAAGAGGATATATCTATAGTGAATTTAAGCAGCTTAGAACCTAGATAATGCTAAGTTAGTACAAGAATCACGAATGGTATACTGTGATTATTGGTTTATTAAATGGTACTCACAATATATGCTGTATATTATGTAGTATACCATATACTGTGATTACTGGTATTCCCTATTCTTGGTATACTACATAGTATACCATAGTTAGTGTTGAATTATGGTATACTTTATTTGTGTATGTTAAGTGATATTCCAATATTCTTAATTTAATGTGTAGTATACCGTGATTATTGTTGAATCATGATATACTTTATTTGAGTATATTAAATAGTATCCCCAATATTCTTGGTATACTATACATTGGTATACCATAATTCAATAATTATGGTATTCCCAGTATTCTTGGTATGCTTGTCACGACCCGGAATCCCAACTTCGGGGCTATGATGGCGCCTAACATCTACTTGCTAGGCAAGCCGACTTGAAACATAAAATTAACTGATTTTAACAATTTATAACAAGCTATTAATGATGAAAACGATATAAGTATAGTAAAATAATACTGAAAAACGAAATCTAAACATAACCCAGTAGATGGTGTCACGAGTACATGAACATTTAGAGTACTACAAAAATGGTCTGAATAAAATACACTATTTTGAAACTCAAAAAAACAGTAAAGATAGGAGGGAAGGGGACTTCAGGATTGCGGACGCCGTGCAACTGTAGCTCAAGTCTCCTTCAGCGAGTGAATCCGAGCAAAAGCTACTGAACGTCGTTAGGATCAACTTCGGTATCTGCACAAGAAGTACAGAGTATAGTATGAGTACAACCGATCTCATGTACTCTGTAAGTGTCGAGCCTAACCTCGACGAAGTAGTGATGAGGCTAAAGCAGTCCACTTACAATAACATGTACGCAGTAATAATAATAATAATAATAACGTGGAAGAAAAATCAGAAAATGGAAGTAAAGCATATAATTTGGAATGAACTCGAACCTCACTATCAAAATCCCCAGAATAACAAGTCATGTAATCTCATATAAAAATGTTAAAACCAACACAACAACAACAAGTACAACACAAACAATCCGTTGCGGCCGCAACACGACCCACCGTATCATCCTTTATCAATATCAATTACCACGTATATAATAAGTTGTGGCACGCAACCCTATTCCACCATATCATAATTTATCAACATCAAGTATTCATATAAAATCCGTTGCGGTGCGCAACCCAATCTCACCATATCATCATTTATCAACATCAAGTATCCTCCCTTATTCTACCGTTTTAATTCATTATCTTTTAATTTTTGTTGAGGCATGCAACACGATCCCCAATCAATTTCAATTAACATAAACAATCCAATAACTCAATTTACAAGAATTTCTACATCAAAGAGTAAGAGTGCAAGACAATAAAGGACCACATAATAATCAAGAATTCTTAAAATTCGAAGTTTCTACTTTGCAAGTTTATCGGTGTCTAACACACTCAATGACTCACGCAAATGAAACTACATCTTAGAGTGCAACAATATTATAAAAATAATATGACAAGTAAAGCATGTGTCAATTAAGGTGTGCAAGTAAAACAGTTAAGGCAAGTGGCAAATAAGCACGGATTTATGGAAGGGACGAACAATTTAATACAAGAATAATTAAATGACAAATAACAATTACGGTATAGAAGTCAAATAAAGCATGTAACAATTAAGGTATGGAATAAGATAATTCATGAAATAACG